TTTCCTACGTGAAAAATATTTTCTTTATTTTATAAAAATATATTTATGTTTTTTAACCGACTTCCAAAAAAAGGAGGAGGTTATCATCGGAATATTTTTTGTTTACTTTTTTTTTTTATGTATGTTACCACATAACCGTCAACCCATACTAATCTGGTTAAGATCCGATCAGTGGATCATGAGATATATATATATATATATTTTTTTTTTTTTTATAAGAGAGTTGAAGTCGGTTTTTTTTTGCTAAAAATTACTTGTTATTTTTTATTTTATGAGAATCTAATTTCAAAGTGGAACAAAAATTGAATTTCTACAAAATTTTCTACTGCTTAAATACCTTTTTGAAAAGAAATATGTGGTTTTTATTACCTTGTACTCTTGTTGAGTGTACCCACAGTAAGTGACTTGCTATTGCTTAATAATTTTTTCGACTTCATTGTTGGCACATCTAACTTGCCCAAAATATCAGCGAAATTCACCCCCGGTGAAGAGTCAAGGATTTTTATCCTTTTTTAAGGATATTTTTAAATTACTTATCCTTTTAAAAGGATTTTTTAAATTCGTTATCCTTTTATAAGGATTAATTTTTTTTAATTTTTAAGATCTTATTTTATTATTCTTTTATAAGGACTTTTTTATATCCCTTTTCGTTGGGCTCCAATTAGAAATTTTCCTACATGGAAAATATTTTTTTTTATTTTATAAAAATATATTTTAGTTAGTTATTTTTTTATTAGTTAGTTAGTTAGTTTTAGTTATTTCAGTTAGTTTTATTTAATTTTTTTATTTCATGAGAATCCAATTTCAAAGCTGAACAAAAACTGAATTTCTACAAAATTTTTTACTGTTTAAATACCTCTTTTAAAATGAATATTTCAGGTAACAGCCTACCTTGTTTTTTTAAATGCATATAAGTTAATAAATAGCACGTTGTATTTTGTTTCAAAAACTATCAAGTTAATAAATAATAATAATAATATAATAATAGATTGGCGCTTACACATATGTTAGTGTTTGGCCGAGCTTTTCCTCCGACTTGTGGCGTGCGCCTTGATGTTGTCACACAAAGCGGAGGGACCTACAGTTTTACGCCGACTCCGAACGGCGATTGTATTTTTATGAGAAGCTGTTTTTCATGGCAGAAATGCACTCGGAGGTTTGCCATTGCCTGCCGACGGACGACCACTGTTAAGAAAAAACATTTTTCTCTATTTTTTGGAATGTTGCTTTGACCAGGGCTTGAACCCAGGTGCTGATGTGTGAAAGCGCGCACTGCTTACCAGCGCTTTCAATTGAGTCGATTATTCTGTGCGTATAAACGTAGTAATTGTCATCATTTTGTAGTTCGGCGTTATGGGACATTATACTTTTTACGTATGCAAAGCAATTGACGTTTTGGAAGTCAGCCTACACCTCCCATACAAAGAACTTTTCATATTGCATATCTCCGGAAGTGTTCATGGTGGAGTACTGGAACTTGATATGTACAAGTTGCATTAAATCAACCGCAGTCATGATATATGAAATCAATCCCATACTCTTACAGAAAATTTGTGCTATTTGAAAAGGGGCGTGGCTTCTTTCGAACGCACTGAAACTATTGCACATCTTTGTATGCACAAACACTTTTGCTAGGTTATACAAGACGGCAATACAAATATACCTTCTGACAATTACCAAACCGTAATATTAGAAGATAAATGCGTCACTGAAAATCATTAACGTGAACTGTTGGTGAAAATGTTGAACCAAAATGTTTCAATACAAAAAATTAATTTTGGCCGGGACGAAGTTCGCCGGGTCTGGTAGTATTAATACATATATTTTTATAAAATAAAGAAAATATTTTCCATGTAGGAAATATATTTTTCTAATTTGTATTTCAAATAGTATAAAAAGAATATAAGAATAAAAATTAAAAATTTTTTTTTTTTTTTTTTTTTTTTTTTGAACTATACATAAAATGTGAAACTTTGATTCATAAAATTTATATTATTGAATGAACATTATTTTCTCAAAAAAGTAATGCAACAAATTCATGCAAATAATCCTGTATATTATATAAGAACAAGGTATACGTGCATAGCAGTTCGAATTAAGTGATAATCCCGATTAAATACGTCAGTCAGTTTTCATATTAAATTCAAATAAAAACAAGTATATTTCTACTTCAATTTTGGAGTACCGTTAATTCTTCGGAACCAAACATAATTAGTAAAAATTTCACTTGCAGTAATTTCTACGTGGTAAGTGCTCCTCCATTGTTTGGTTTCATAGGGATTCGGATACCTTTCTCGTTGAAGTAGTAAAGAAATTTCGTTTAAATGTTTTTTTCGGTTAAGCGCACAAGGTTTTCGTGCAAAGAACAATGGACAGCTAAGCAAAATATACTGTAAGCGTGAAAGAAATAAAATCTACTTCCATAAACTCTCTTAATATTCCAAATAAATTCCTTAAGATTCACAATTATTAAGGTAGTTGAATGATAAGTTGTATATTGGGACACCACTTAACAATGTAATTATAGACAAAATAATCTTCTCTAAAGTTAAAAGCAGCTTGTTTGACAAGTACATATCCCATTGAA